AGTCATTACCAAGCAATCTCATGTTGCTGGAAGTATAGAAAACATCAAGCTTTGCTGTCGGAAGTAATTAACGTGCGAACGTACATTTTCCCTTTAACAAGTTCAACAGAGGGCAATGGTAATTACAATGTAGACAGATATCTAATTACCAAAACACACCACTCTAAGTTCTAATGCAATCAATGCCATTGGCTTCCCCTGTGGGATCGTTAATTTCCTACATTCTCAAGACTTTCAAAGTTTGAAAATATTCCAGACTGCTCGTTATCATTCCACGGAGTTAATTTTTTTTCGTTGGGTTGTAATAAGACTAACAAATCCGGGCTGTAGCTGCCATAATAATTATAGACGACGTTTGTCTTTAGTCTTTTGGGAATTCTACATTAAAAGTCATGAATTAACAATGGGGCATGTATGATAATGCGTATCTGGTGCCATTCGCATCTTCAAGTTTCACACCGAAAATGGATTTTGTTTTTCAATTGCTTTTCCCTAGTGATCATACAAAGCTTGTTCATTTCTGAATGAGACACCGAACAAATCAATACACCGATGATTAGTTTTGAAATAATTACTTCACAAATTGTGCATTATTTGCGCTCAGGCATAATTTTGTGTGCGTATTATCTTTTTGTGCATTAGAGGCGCAAAACAACTAAAAATAAATGTACATATACAGAGGGCTCAAAATGCCAACAATGCCAACAAAATAGCATTTTTCCGTCTAAATAAAGCCAATAAATTTCAAATTCGTTTGGAGAAAAACTAATCGAATATGTTGCATAGCACGGGTTCTGGGTAGAGCAAGTTTAATATTGCTCAAACGTTTGATATTTATAAAACGTTGAACACATACCAGGCTGTGTTCTTTCAAAATTGCAAATTTTGGTGGCGGGGACCGCGCAGCGTTTTTTTTTTTTTTTTAAAGGGGATCAAAGCCTTTTGCTAAATTGATAGATTTAACCTTTTTTAATTTACTATTTTTTCTTATTCTCACAGGTTTTTATACAACAGTCGTATTCCTGCTGATATGTCTATGTATGCGGTGACGTTGGAGCCAAGGTTTACATCTGTTTGTACTACCTGTTTCTGTAAATCCTAAATGCCAATGTATGCGATCCGTTGTGAAACATTTAATTGGCAATAACGCATTTCGATTCGACTTACAGGAAGCCGTTTCTAACCAAAACAGTAAATGCCTTCGCGAGCGCTAGTATCTGTCCGACAATAGATCATTCAAACAGTGACGTATTTACAAATATGATGCCTCTAATGTATTGCTGGAATCCACGGGAATAACTTGGCACGCTATTTTGATTTGCAGTAATCCCCAATTTACTCGATAATCGCTTGTGGGAATAAGGGTCGGACGCGATTGCATTATGCACTTATATTATGGAGTGCCACCAATATGCTGTTTGACGTTGGCCACTCTGAAAATACTGACCAGCGTGTTTGTCATGCAAAGCCATCCAGACCTTTGATTGCATTCAAATCGCTCCGGTTTGATAAAGTTCACACGGCTCACGCATTTACGAGATAGTTAATGAATGCCTTATTATTGTTCACACTTGTTATTGTACCCGTTAAGTAATTAGTGAGGGCAATAAGATGTAAAGCTCTATGTACGCCTCTGACGGTAAGAAATTATTATTAAACTGGTGTTTTCGTCATTGAGAAAATAACTCAATGACTCAATATCTCGTCATTGAGAAAATAACTCAATTGAGCGCGATCTTTCAAGACAACTGTACAGGTGCTTTCTATAAAGAGGTTGACTGCAACGTCACGCACAAATAAGGATTTTCGAGAAAAAAAAACCTTGTGAGTCTTCTAACATAACGTTACCATACAGAAGATTTCTACAGATGGCCAACAGCATGTCAACGATTCTAGTCGGACCTCTGACAACACATCAATAACCACAACCACTACCACAGCCACAAGCAGCAGCAGCAACAGCAGCAGCAGCAACAACAGAGCTCTCAGGAGCTAAAAGTCCAGGCCCCCTCACTGAGACAATCAGGCCATGCTGATCGTTGGGTGGTTTGAAATCGCAAGTTCTTTTGCAACTCGCTGCTTTGAATAAGTCCAACCTTAATTCACTGCAAAATTTAGTCACACACCAACCTAACACGATAGGCTTGGTCCCCCCCCCCCCCCAAAAAAAAACAACGTTTTGAACCTGGCTTTGCAGCTCGTTTTTTTCTTCGACTCTTGCAATCACTGTCGAAGACTAAGTTCTTAAAAAAAGCAATCTGCATGTGTTTTGGCCAGTGAGGTTTTCAATTTTCCTCTATGATTACAACCACCATTGTCTGGCACCACAGATCAACCAATTCAATACTTCAAGGAAAGTGGGCTCTCCTTGTTGTAGTCTACGAGTCTACGGATCGGCTTTAGTTGTGGATTTCCCCGCTAAAATGGCCACGCGACCGAACTCTCCTTTAAAACACATGCCTATATACCTTGCCATTAATGCAAGGGATTTTGTCTTCCGTTTTCATTCCATCTTGGCTCTCGCGGGTTTTAGTCCCAAAGCCAAGGTCACGCAGGCAAGGCAGGACAAATTTCAACCCATAGTAATGATTTGCCTCTCGCGCGCCTTATAACTGCTGTTATGAAATATAGATTTCTGACGTGCAATTACAAACGACAAAGATAGACGAATCCCCTGCTCCGTTGCTTCATTGGAAATGCTCCGGCAGGAGAAAATTTAACTCAAAATTGTATCTTCATGATTCAATCACGACTACTTTATATTTTAACAAGTATATGTTTGTCTAAACATCTGAATTGGGTATTCGTTAAATCAAATTAATTTAGATATTATTATATGAAAATACCACTGACAGAATTCTATGCACAAGTCACACAACGTCAACAAAAATAATCATCACTCTATTTCCAAAAATAACATCGAGGGTACTTTTCTACACATTATTTTCCGGTCCTTGAAAACGCTTGTGATACGCAATAATGGCTGCAATTTAATTACGGATATGAAATAATTGCTGCTGGTTGACCAAAAGTAATTATTACTCAACACTCAAAGCAACGTGGCTTAAGTTTTATTATTGAAATTGTGAGTGTTATATACTAACATACACGGCTGAAGTATAGATCAAATTTTGAAGCAAGTCATTTTTATCTTGCAAAACGTGCACCAAGTGCCAACTGTTATTACGTGTGACATTCAGGACATGATAAGTTTTCTATACGCAATACTGATATTACTGCTTCGGGCGAAATGTCGCTCTGGAGAAAAATCCAATCAGAACACATTTTCTTTTTTTCCTGATTCCGTGTCTTCTCTTATTCGCATGACAAATACACCAGGCGCATTGCTAACGAAAGAAACCTGACTGCATTCCAAACGTGGTTTCGACATGAATACGGAAGGAAATTGGCGCGGAAATGAAAGGTCTGGCCAAACATGCAAATATATTGTCTGTGACGACAGTTCAGAATTTATCAATAGGGAGAGCTCGGCTGTATTATTTCGTGATTACCAAGAGCGCGGAGTGGATATATGCGTGTGCATTGCTGCACAATCATAATAACGACATTGGAAAATGTGAACGAAATCATACAACCCATCTTTAATATTCATAAAAATCCAGACAATCTTATAATTTGGTTGAAGGAAGTTTTCATTTTTGTGGCAACAACGTGGTCCAAATGTTACCGCCAATTCAAAACGTTCCCAATATTATGTCTCCCTGACAAAACTCATCAGTGGTGTGTCTTTTAACATAGCTTATTTGATTTTCACAAATATAACATTAAAAGGGCGGAGAAAATGTACAGGGCTTGGGCTAGACTGTGAAGATAAGACGCACGCAGAGGGAGGTACCAACGTTTTTTTGTTAATATGGCATTAGGAGACTAGGTGAATAAAAGGTGGGGCATTCACCCTTCTAAGACAGACAGGCACCCACGAACACAACATAATAACAGTCCTTCTCAGACACAAGGTATAGCAGTCACCTGACATAAAGGGATGACAGACACCCTCAGAAAGGAGGTATGAAAGTCACCATCAGATAGCAGGCACCCTTTGGCAAAATAATGGTATGACGGTCCCCCCACAGACAGAAGGTATGGTTGTCGGTCACAGACAAAAGGTATGACAGTCACCCTCAGAGATATGAAATGCAGAGACCTTAAGACATAATTAATAGATACAATTGAATCTTGCGACACGACCAACTCGCAGAATTTGAACAAGTATGCGTCTTGGGCAACCGTTCTGCAGACTGACAGGTTCATTTCCAGCCAATAATAAGAACACTTGTATCAAAGTAGTGCAGTAGCCTTCGCTTAATGGTAACTTACATACTTTGAAATCGCCTATGGGGTGACCGCGACGGACGTTTAGCATTTGATACTAGATGACACGTTTTTTGACAGTCCCGATAAAACGCACTGCCCTGCGAGCAGTTTCGTTCGTGTGAATTGTGGCGCGAAACGTGTTGACCCTCCGAACACATCTCCCCCCTGATCGGAACGTGTATCAACAACACTTACAGCATCTTCTTCCGTCATGTATTTGCAATAAATAAACCAAACAAAAAACTCCATATGTACCAAACGAGGTTGATGGAAACTTTTAGTCACTCCAAGCGAAAAGGGTACCGGCATCAGCCGGTACGGTATACCGCTATTGTTTCGTATCATACCAAGCTGAACATGTCCGTGGCAGAAAAAGTAGAAGGCCTCAACACAATGCAACCATAGGTTGTCTGAAATAATGTAACATGATTAAAACTAAGTAGGCACTGACAATGTACTCTACGAAGAAGGTACCTTTTCCTGAAAGTTAATCAGAAATACAATTAACAGAACACAGAGGAGTCAAAGCGATTATGAAGCTGGGATTAAATCTACAAAAAAATACAAAACGATCATTTCTATCGCAACTCATGGGTGCGGGCTTCATCAATAAAGCTATCCAGAATATGCCATTTCTTGAATATTACCACAAGACACAATTTTATCGATTCGTTGATCATTAGTATTTATTTACAGAATATTAACAAAAAAAAACAATTCAGTTTGATCCAGCAGCTGACTTAATGAAATCACATTATTATTATTGTTTTGTTCAAATCTGAAATAATGTATTTACATATATCGCTGACAACATCAAGCTTTCGATTCACAACAAAATAAACTCGTGCTCAATTATACTTATCATGGCATATATATTACGGTATACTTTACATCAGTTCTACAAGTTTTAAGTGAGTGAACATTAAACATCAAATCGTGATTTACTTTTATTTGTACATTTGGTATAGACGTATACTGGTATAGACGTACAAAGAAAACAGTTGGGGACAAGTTACCAATTCGACTCAAAAGTCTTCCTTTCCAATAACAGCACATTCGAAGCAACTGAAACAATTGTACAAAAAAATCAGTCCGTACATCAAATCATTATAATTGAACTAAAATTACTGATATTAGTGAAACAAAAATGCTGTCGCAAACACATCACTGTCAGTGATTTGTGTCTCAATGTATGAGTTTAATTCAGATTAATTGCACCGTTTAGAATCGCATGCTGCTTTCAGTATTACCACCACTGCTCGTGTCTACCTAATCTACACATAACACAGCACAATGGTAATACAAACAAATGACATGCAACTACCTTTGATATAGACAACACAAAATACAGATGCTGGCAATCAAAGAACGATGTCAGTCAAAAAGCTTTTTTTCGTACTGGAAAATGTAGTTACATTTATTTAAAACAAAATATATTAACCGGTAAGAAAAAAGCACAAGAGTTTCAATAAACGCACATTAAAAAAGAGGCAATGTATTGTACCGCATTTGCATTTTGTCCAACAAAGTCAAGATTATTTTATGGTCAGAACCTTTTCATTTTACCAATTTAAGTTGGAACTACTGAATTGGATTGTCATTTTTTTTAAATAGAAATGCGTGTCCACATTCAGCTTTCAGGCTCGCACCATTATTTATGTGTTTTTCTCGGACATTTTGACAGAGATATTAATCTTTGACAATACAATAATTTAACGTGTGGTAACTCATTACCATCTGTTCCACCATGGTTAATGATTTATGTTTAAACACAAACATTCCGTGTGTGTCGGGCTGCGTTATTTAACATTGGTTGCTTTCGACTTCAAGAGATTTTATGCCGGCGATTGAGAATAAACGTCGGATTTTATTAGCTATTCCAAATCCTGTTTTAAAAATCTGAGATTGAAGCAATTTATGAAGTATTAATGTAATGCGTTACTTGCAACACATATACATATTATTTTGAATTGATCATATCTTTCCATAATGTAAATTTCATACACAAACAGTTGTAGGAGCATAATTGTATTGACTAATTCTTAATGCAGAGTCGATCAACAACCCAATTCCGATTTTCAAAAATATAAGAGAGTTTCAAATAATGCACTTGCACGACAGGTGTCTGATTAACCAATTATCGTATTGTTGAAAGTCTTTTCTTACTCTGAATTCCTCTTGAAAGTGCTCCTTAATGTTCTTTAATATTATCACTTCGAGGCAGTGAAGGATATCACACTGCTTGTTTTGCATTGGCAATTGCAAACAGCGGCAGGATCATGACCATGAATATTTCGGCGGGAAGTTCTAATGATTTGGCGGTGTCTACGCTGTCAGCCCCTCGGCAACGATAGCGAGGTGAAAGAAATTGATAAGTTTTCGCCGCCTGGACAATACCCTGATAAATATTCATGGATTTCAACAATATAAAATCTCGTCGGCGTGTATGTACAGACATTAGTTTTGATAGGGTGAACGTACTTTTGGTATTTCTCGCGCCAAATACCAGCAGATGTATATTTCATCGAAAGCGAAGGTTATCGGCACTTGCCGGCCGCAAAAGCGATGAGGAACGAGGGCTATAGGATGAATCAAACAATCCTGGCCTGCGTCAAAGCAATTTCAAGTATTTCACTATTATTGATCTCAAACTAGAACGATGATAGGTCACGATGCACTTTTAATCTGGGTTGGAAATATGTCATGTTTGTTATCGAACACTGACAGTTTAAGGGTCAGCTTGCAAATCAATCGATGGATGGTAACTTTTGATTGAAACGTAAACAATTCAATCTCATATTGTTGTAGGGTTAACCACAGTGACTGAAAAAGGGCTAATACAACTGCCGCAAAATACAGCCTCTGTGTTTAAGAACTTTGCATTTATAAATGGATCATTTGCTTATTATTCAAGTAGAAATTTTCTTGTAATGTTCTCTTTGCCGTGAGTCCCTGTTTGAAAATTAATTATTGATTACTCGATGGGATGGTCGAGCTATTCATTGTCAGTCAACTATGTAAGTCTTTTGTCCCCAACATGTTACAACTTGACGAATTACCGTCAATTTGTCGGTCAGTCCGTACCTTTGTCTGTGTGTCTTCCGTAGTCACAGTGTTGCCGAAACAGACTATTAAAGCGTGAAATAAAAGTGGGGCATTGGCATTGTGTCCCTAAGCATGATGTAACCTCATTTTTTTTCTTATAAGGATTACATATGTTTTCAGCCCATCACATGAGCTGCGACACCAAATTTGGTCCCATCTAATTAAAACAGTATTCAACCTGGAGCCTGCAATGTATATAAATAAGAATTGAATACGAAATTGCCTTTTTAAATAATGCATTGAGTAAAAGAAGAATACGCCCTCTGGTAGAGTGCAGGATGTGTCCATCTTGAGCTAGTTAATACCCTTTTATCGTTATCTCGTTCCCCCTGTCAGATTGAAGCTAGACTGTCTGTTAGTTATCTGGTCCCCAGGTTGTCAGTTCGGTAATTTCGACGTCAGTTCTTCAGTCAGTGCCGGATGTCCGTTAAGCTCGCTCTATCCCATCCCTTGATTTTCCGTTCTGCCTTGGGGCGGTCGAGTCGACTTAAGATTCGCGTACCTCTGAAGCAACATCACGCCATAACTCGGAACACGTATTTTTGTTGTGGCATTTTTAGGGGGAGTGGTGTCGCGACACATATCAGCACTTTTGACATAAAGCGCGTTGATTATCCCGGAAAGTATCTCGATATACGTCTTTGATCACTCTTGGGCCCCCGGGGCTTCGGGTTTGATTCTTTTTATCTCCGACGATCTATCTTTTTTTGCTGTTGTCCCAACTTCACCGTTTGACAGATCTAAATGGCAAATGAATCTTTTGTACGATAAGAAGCGAGCCAAATTGTGCATGTTACTGATTAACTTCCTTTGCAACTACAACCTAGACTGGCGGCCGCAAATTGGGCAAATTGGTGCTCAGCATCTTTCACAGGGTCAACGTTGTCAAATTGTAGCCGATGACGAATCGCCTGACATTTAATTTTTACAATATATATCGTACAATTTTTTTCTTCTTGAAATTGATGAAAGCATGCATGGTACGACCGCTTTTCAAGATTTACAAAAGATTAATCTTCAGTTTCAGTATAAAAAACACACAAGGTAACACATCTAACCGAAATTAATCGCAGGTCGTTACTTTGAATACATGAAATTTACCAAGGCTGTTCCCAGGAATGAGGCAAACATGTAAAAGTATGGGTACATCTATGTTTCCAAAGATTACTTATGCAGCACATTTGTGGTGCACCCCAGATGTTGGTGACCTGAATTCATCTTTCCGTATGGATTTTTCCACGATGTATTGATCATGTTACCTTTTTCGGCCGACATATCAATGACAAAGCGTGTCACGCCATCTGTTTATATAGTAGATGATTGTCATGCAGAAATATTTATTCAACAGATCAATGACTTTTCTTCTATGATCTGGGGACGAAAACATTTTTGTTCAATTAACTTCTTTGCTTATAGGATGCAAACCTTAATAACCATTACAAAAGCACCATTTCTAAAAGGTTAATAGCACGTGTTATCTAAATTTCCTGACAAGTAGCGCATTCAAGAATCAATATTCTTTCTATTGTCCGCAAATTATCTGCCACGTTGGACTCCCTATACTAGATTGATTGATTGATTGATTGATTGACGGAATTAAACATCTGCAAGAACATATATACGAAAGCATAGTGTTTTCATATAATTATGTGCATGGTTCGTGAATTTGTTGAAGGACAATGAGAACTTCACGCGCAGGGTACGTGATGTTATACGATGACTCAGTATTAACCGCTCAAGTTGTGACAACGCCAAAAGAAGTTGACAACTTTATGAAATTCAGAAATCGATGCTCTTTCTGAAAAAAACTATGTCAAATGCTTCAAATTAGGAACGTATCGATTGTCAACACACACAATCAACCGCCCACACCGACCGAACTTCACCGAAGGTATACACGTGAGGAGGAGAGAACGAAAAGCGGAATCTTTGTACTAAATTTGTTTTCTGAATAGATGAGTAAGAGATCCGTTTGTATCAAATTCACAGGCAACCCTGCAAGATGTTATTAAGTCTTCGGAAGTGTACTAGATCAACTTTCACTCCGGCAAACAAAATATTATTATTGGCGCACAAACTGGCTTTTGTGCAATACACTTGAAGAAAATCTGTTCAGGAGTGAGGATGCTCTTTTAGAGTATTGCAAAATTTAAAAGGAACCCACACACCGGAGATCTTCAAGCTTCTGAAAATCCATTTCATTGTTATTTTTTTTTCAATGGAAGGAACACTGAGATTCAGGTTGTTGGGAATGAATTAATAAACCACCCAAAATCAAAGTGAAAGAAAAACGTTTGCATTGTAAAGATTTGCAACATTGCATAAACATGTACTTGGTAATTTTTTGAAATATCGTTAACTTTATATCGCTCTGATAAAAAGTGCTGCTGCTTTTTATAGGTTCACACCGCCTATACAAATTGCACCTACGATTGATTTTGTTTTGATATCAAAATGCACTGATATACGATCATAACCATTTCAATATTTTTTGTTTTAATTCAGACTACGCCACATAATGAAATGAGACAATAAGAAATCTTTCCACATACGACATTATTAAGAACCGAATACGTAATTACGAGTAAACTGAACTTTCGACTCCCCAAGTCGGTAAAATAAGGGTTTGAAATTGGGAGAGACGCCTAAAGAAGGCGCGTTATCAGAAGGCAGGTCCGAAGTACATCGACATTATACATGCGATGCAAGGCGAATTGTAAACACCAATTAACCAGAAGGTTTTCATCATCTCCTTAGATCCGAAGGAGATGCAAACAAGGCCCCATCCTTTGGATCTTAGGGATGTGTGTCTATAAGAAAAACCCTTTCCGACGTTGAGCTATGTCCAAATTGCGGATTTGTTTAACCGTGTGCTTTTCCGAATCCATAACTCATTTTTATAAGTGGCAGCAATGTTTTTTTTACAAGAACTAGAATACAGCGCTGGGATTTTGTTGCTACACGTTGCTATTTTTGGAATTCCTTGCCTTGCAATCGTTCGTGTCAGGACGTTTATAATGTTATTATTGTAGCTTCATGGCCAATCGTTCATTGTGAACGCATCGCATTGATTACGCGTCATCGTTTGATAAACCAGGAGCTGACAGTGAAATCAGAATCTCGATCTATTCTTAGAGAGCGTCGACAAGACTGTTAATAAATTCTAAAATAAGACAAAGTTGCCATATTAATTGTGGCGCGTTCTAGCGTGTGTGCATCCTGCCCCATCCATCATTTCTCAAGGAATATATATGCGCTTTTAATTCTCTTGCTGCGCCCACGTGCAATTAAGGCAAATTATGTTTGCCTTGCTCAAGCTGTAGCAATCGCAGCCGTGGTGTGTTATTAAAAACAACAAAAAGCCCTGTATGGATATTAACAAAATATTTCCGGCACTACACACGCAGAGCCTTGAAGTTAGAGATTGGACGAATCGATTGGACTATTTTCTTGTTCATTTTTTTTCCGTCAGGAACTGGCGAGGTTTAATCAAGCGCAGAATTGAGACAAGATGCAATACGAACAACCAAAACGAATCGACTTCGACGGGAGCGCACCTATCAAAAGCTGTCATTCGGTGATTTTTTTTCGGTAATAAAACATTAATATAAATAACAGTTAACGGCTTTTCCTAACAACATCTTGTCAGATCAGTGAGTTAATCAGTTACCTGCATCTGCTACAGTGTCCGTGTTTATGAGGAAAGGTGCCTATAACTTAATTACCAATTCCTTTTTTACCTAGCCAGTCGAGAGTCAAGTGCTGTCAAAATAAGTGTGGTTGCAATAGATCAAACAAGTAATATATGTGAACCGCTGGAACATGGAAAAGCACCGAACAGCGCAATTAACTTCAACAAATAGTAAGGCAAGTGTAATTAAAACATACAGCAAAATGCCGGTGGGGATGGCAATAATGGCTTCAAAATTGTACCATGTTCAAACAGTCTGGTTCATTTATGAAATACAAGAAACTAATAGAAACTTAGAAAAAAAGGGTTTTGTTTAAAACAAAAAATATATACACAGGTCTACAAACTATAATCGGTAATATATGCCAACATCGACTTGGGAGGATAATGTTTTGAACAATCAAAACAAATATTAATATGGACATTTACAACCGGTCAAATGCTTGAAAGAAAGAAAGTTGAAATTGGATTTGATGAGAAAAAAACATTTTTTTAAATAATCTCCGGCAAATTATTTCCCGACCGGACCCGTAGAGTAAATGCAAAATGTGTTTGAACAGATGTGTTTTTATTACACAGTGTACAATAGCAGCAGAAAGCTGAACAAACTGTCCATGCCGGAGAGGATATTGTTTAACTTCTTTCGCTTTTTATGAAATTGAGACCGCGCTATTTGACTGCAGGGGTACGCAGCAAAGACATTCTAATTTCCTAACCGCAGCTGGCAGATGCGAGAGGTAAATTTGCTGAAGCGTTTTAGTGCGGAGACTTGATTTTGCCGCGGATCGGTTAACTCAATTACATGGGCGTCACGATATAGTGGGCGGGATCTTCACCCAGACACATGAATAATTTGTCGGGCGGGGGAAAAAAGCTGATAACTAGAAACATTATCGGTCTATTATCGGTAAAAAAAAAAGGTGCCGTTTTACTTAAGTCTCATGCAATTTAGAAGAGGTTATTTGCACATTCTGACATTCAGCCCTAAGGTGGCTGATGTTACATCCCGTATAAAGTGTCGAACAGCTCTCGGACTGGCAATTAGTGTATTGTCGTAAATCAAGAGATTTTGTGAGCAGAAACAGTATACCAAACACTTAGATTTCAACAATAGCAATATAGAAAATGTTATGCACACATAATGAAATACAATATTTACACAACATTTACAAGTACCTTGATGACATACGCACCTTGTTGGTTTAAACATTGCCCATCAATGATTTTTTTAAAGTGAATTTTATTAAGCTTGCAATGCATTGGCACGCTGCTGTTAGGCCATTTTGGCGTCTCGTGGAGATTGAAAGGCAAAGGTTCCCACTTGGGAACAACTTAATAAAGGCGCACAGAGTGCACCCTTTTGGACTACATCTGGAATACACACGTCTAAAGGACCTCATTTCTCGTTATCTGCGTATCAGTGGTCCGATGGATGAAGTTTGGCGAGAAGCTCCGGTCAGCTGATACCGTCCCACCAGTCTTGGTACCAGAGACCTCCCTCAGCTGAACGGCCGAGCGATACTTGCTGTTCTTGGGCAGGCAACAGCAGCAGAATGTCTGGCAGAAGGCCTGGCGGTACCTGGGGTTGGTAGCGTTGTAGACAATGGGGTTAATGGCGGAGTTGAGATGGGCTATGACCTGGAACACCTTTCGCATCTGGGTGAATTGCCTTGGGGTGAGCAGCATAGTCTGGGTCAGCGTTCTAATGGCGGTGACGAGGGAGGTGATGTGGATCGGACTCAAGCACAAAAAGAAGATGATACCGTTGGCGATGACCATTCGTGCCATTTGATTTCTCGTCCGTATGCGAGCTTTCTCGTTGGAACCTTTGCCCGAGGTTGTTCGCCTGTGCAAAGCAACGATGATCTTCCCATACAGGTAAAAGTTCACGATGAGCGCCATCAAGAAAGGAACCGACTGAAGGATCTTACCGATAATCTCGAAGTGGTCGTGCGGCAAACAGAACCCGATGATTTCCGGAAATCCCTTGAAGCTGTCATTCTGCGGCCAGATGATGCAGAAGGTCTCAAATTTGGCCGTGCCTGGAATGAGCAGACAGCCGAAGGTGACGGACAGGAACCAGGACACGAAGATGAACTTGGTGGGCTGTCGACGGCCGGTGCAGCGCTTGTACTGGTAGGGCTGGCAGACCGCGTAGAACTTCTGCAGTGTGACCAAGGTGATGAGGGCCAGGGATGAGAAGAAGCAGGCATCCTTGACGAGGTGGATCAAGATGCAGCCCGTCTTACCGCGGAAGTAGTCATCGCGACCCACGGGAGTCACCAGGTAGGCCAGGATCTGATCGCCGGCTGCAAAGAGCAGGAAGAGGATGTCAGCCACGGCCAGATTGACCAGGTAGCAGTTGACCACGGTCCGCATCCATTTGATGCGAAACACGACCACCAGAAAGCTGAAGTTACCGATGATTCCGAAGACCAGGATGCAAGGTGTCACCACAGTCGTCAAGAATTCCAAGGGGCTGTACAAGAGGGCCTCCAGCTGTTCCTCCTCAATCTCCCTGCACACGGAGTCATTCGAGTTGTTGAAGTTGGAGAAATTCATTTTTCTTTTCAAGGAGTCTAGGACAATCCCAGATCATATAGTTACGTTTATGAGAATCTTGGTTTCTGCTACGTGCACATACAGATACACACTGGGTGTCCGATCATGTCTACTCGCACATAGACATCCTGTGAAATTCGATTGCACGTACTCAAATAAAGAAATTATCGTTACGTGCAGAAACCCACCGTGAGGTGTAGGCCTAAATGTACTGCGAAGAGGAATAGGGGTCGTTTTCGATGGAAATTCCACTGGTCACAAAATAACCAAAACGCCCGAGTTCAAATCATTTCAAGTAAGAGTAGCAATATGGCAGAATAACTACAGGAGAGATTGATACCACAAAGCAGCTCTCTTTAGTTGCCTCAGAAAGAAATGAGGAATATGGAGCACATGAAACATCTGAAATGAGTTCCTGCTCATCTCATTATTAAGGTATTGCCATCAATGTCTTAATGAAGTCCAATATTTTGCTGAAGTTCAATGTTTTGGAGATGCTTTGTCCGAGAAGAGCAAACACAGCAAAGCCACAGACGGATGACGAAATGATTAAGACGACAACCGGGCTGTACCTGTAATTTCCTCACGAAGTACAGACGACTTTACGGCATCACCGCAGAAGTCACTCTGAACTCCACGTTTCATCCCGTATCTACTTATATCTCCTGCCTCCCTGGTACTGCCTCACACACACGCAAAGGACAACACAATAACAACCAGGCGTGACTTTCGGTCAGTTTTCGGTGGGTGTGACTGCAAAACTAATTAAGCGGGCAGTGACAGGCTGTCAGCGTGCGCACCGCCGTACAGCGGCAAACCGTTGGTCGGCATGCCCGACGTGACGAGGTATGTTTTCAGCAAGTCCGCCTGTGTGTGTAGCGCAGACAGATCAGCCTCGCATGCGATAGTAGGATGTGTGCACTGCCTCACGGCTGCAAATGGTGTGCTCTACGCTGCTGACCACGATCATCCTCACTGCAGAGTAGTTGGGATGAGTGGGCGGAGAGCGCGTGCGCAGCGCACGCGCAGAGCAACACCCACTGATCACATCGGTGCCTAAATGACATTTCATTTAGCAGAGCTGGCCGGCTAGAGCATTGTGTCGCGCTCCAAAGAAGTTGCTCACATCTGGGAAATTGGTTTTTGCAGCAGTGCATTATGAACGGTAACCCGGTCCAGTGGCTCGGGATAAGTGGGGCCGACGACTACGGGCCGGCACAGCTGATCTTCAGACAGCAGGATCGATTCAAGTCCACTTTGGACGAGTTCACTTAGAGAATATTCAGGTTCTTCTTAAAAAATTGAGAGATGGATACAGACCGACGAATGTGATATCCACTGTACAATTCCCAGAGTTGTTACATTACATGATTGTCAGTGTAAACGGGCACGGAAATAATTATTGTGACACTTGTGTCGCAAGGTTTCAACCTGAAATATTTGACGTCATTTTTTAGTCTTACAGGTTTCTGCTTCGGGGAAGTATTACAAAATTAAATTCTGGTAGTCGATTTTGGCTACCCAAAATATACCTGAGTATATCCGCTTTCATATGTGAAACAACTAACACTCATGTATCCGTTAAACTCTTAAAACTCTTTTTGTTTGATTCTTAGGAAATAAATGTATACAAGTATCTCATGGGGTTATCTTTTAGCAAACAGCACGGAAGCACTACGAGCAGGTGGAACAAGAGCGATTTGATTTCCCTTTCTGAACCACGAGACCAAAGAGCTCAGTGTGTCCTGATAATCACACTGCCCCCAGCCCTTCCACAACCTGATGGCCAAGATTTATAGATTACTGTTAAAACACCTGCCCGCCACAATCATTTTCATCCATTCGAAAAAAAATGAAAGACAATGCGCGAGAAGAATTGAAACGCGTGATAAAATAAGTAATGGTTTTGTGTGGGCAGAATTTCAAATCGCATTGGCATTGCAGTAAATTTATAAAAAAAAGTTCAAATTTAAACCCTTAGATATGATTATCTATACTTTTAAATATTATTTTCATTTTTAGGACAAAAGATTCAACTTGCGCTGCAACATTCAACTATTTTAAACATTTCCAACAGTTACTTTAATTGTCGCGAATATATGTTTGAATATCAGACGAAGCTCATTATTTTTCACAACCCATAACTAAGCAGCACTTTAATAAACATGTACTTATACAATACCTTTGTATAGACAATCTGCTTAATAAGGAAATGATAATTAATATGGGCATTCTTGAAATGTCAATCCCGACTTGGCAATGCGATTTCGGCAAAAGCAGAACGTAAATGGTTTGCTTTCGGCTCATGAAGAGAAACAATCTATTTTCAGGGTGGAAATAAAAGGAGGATTCATTTTGTTCGTGGTATTTTCAATTATCAGATAAAGTTGATCAGATATAGTTTACCCTTACGTGCATTGACATAAATGCTTTGGCCTTTTCCGTACATTTCACTTGACCGTTTGGACAGCATTTGCATCATTGTTGTTAGTTTAGCCAGTCACTTAGAGGAGATTAGATTATCTTCTACGATTACCAGCCTCAGATATGCCAGTAATGGTGACCCAAACTAGACAGAATGGACACTCAAGTGGCAAGCCTCGGGGCGATTCGGGCAGATTGCTCACCCTCTAAGAGCCCAACCTGCCGAAGTGATGACGCAGACCAAAGTGTTTTCCTCTAAAAAGGGATAGTTACGGTGTATTTTGACTGCTGAGATTGATGCATTTACTAGGACAACATCAAGGTGTTCTTCGAAATCTGCGCACTGTTTGGCAACGGAACAGAACCTTGCTAACGTACCGATTACTTTAAATTTACTTGAATGGCACTTTAAACAACTGAAATTAGTTTAGAGATCAATCTTATTTTATTTTCGGGTAATTTGGATGGAATTGAACGTCAGTCGTGTCGTTTGGAATACTGAAATTAAAATTTTACTGCAAAGTTTGAATATTTTTGTAAACATTTTTGTATATATTTTCAAGGTAGGTATAGTAAGTGAAAGTACCAGTTTCATTTTATGAAGACAGTACACACCATAGATTGATATGCCACCCAAAAAACCCACTATTGTGTAGTTCTGTTCATGCACAACAAAAGTCGCTTCTAAAATTTCTATTTTACAGTAAAAGCCTTTCTGATATCAGAGGTGGCTTCTTGAGGGCCAAATGAAGGTAAACAATTTCTTTAACGAAAATATGAGCTTGACATAAGCAGACCGTTAATCGAAGGATGAAGCTTCGACGAGTCTTCCTCAGTGTCCCTCACACCGGTCCCTCATTTGCGTCTTACCAATTATTACGGGTGTCAAAAACTGCAGCCCAAGGACTTCACGGCAGCCCTCGTCCCAATAACACGGACAACAAAACAACCATAAATCATGTCATTTCAGTTTAATTTCTCCAGAGGATATCGCTTTACAAATCAGCCCCCTCATCACCAAAAAGTGCTTCTAAATCACATCGCTTGTGTACCGGGTGGACTTTGGCCAGCCAGGTTTTTTGGCGCCGACTTTTTTGTGTATAATTTTAAGAGCTGCATTGACGGACATCTCATCAGCTAGCCAACAACGGAAAACCGTACTCTAATCATGACCAATTTTGTTAAAGTTTTACTAAACATATCTCTGACACTACTTCTTATTTTAGAACCGATTTTTCCAATGTGCAAGAATACTGACTCGGCCCAATTTTGCTTTGTCCCCTTTAGTAGTCAATACTTTTAAGTAATGTTTTCATTCCAACGGTGTTAATTATAGGTTATATGGTATGTTTGTTAAGACATAATCAAAATATTTATTGCAGCAAACGTGGGCGATAGTATTTTCAACGGTGTGACGTGTTTAGAGCACTGTTCCAGATAGAAACAATCACATTTTCGATGATTGAATTTTTCTTCTAACTCTGATGTAACGGCATCCTCAGCTACAAAACCTAGATCTAATTATCCAGCCGCTAAATGTGATTGCCACACGCACACTGCTTGCCTTGGCGAGATAACTTTCACCGGTTCTAGTGCGCATGGTTCTCGCTCAGTTCATTTAACTAGATTGGTGGCAACCCTTGACCTTCTCGTTTCAGATTTTGATATCCGCTCCATATACGCTAGGGAGACTTGAAGAATCTCCTAAGAGTGTCCTAATGGTGGTAACGTTTTGTAATTCTTTGATGGCGGTGTTGGGTTGGTTTTTTTTTTTGGGGGGGGGTGGTTCGGGGGTTAGTGGCTTCCCAAGCCGCGAAGCTACGGAACAAAATTCACACTTGACTTGTATAAAGACATCGGGGATTTGTTTAGATCACAAGAGAACATGTTGTGAATGATGTTTTGTGCAGACAATCCCTTGTTGATCAATGCAATTACTGCCGACACACCCGAATGGTGAGCCGGCCTCTCCGTGGACCCCTACACGGTGCCGCTGCCCGCCAAGACATGCCTCCGGAAAGGAGGAAACGAGAGAACGAGGAGGATTAGGTTTTACCGCTTTCAATACCTACGGGGGCAGAGGGAGGATTTCCCTCCAAAACCCCCATCCGGTCCCGGAGAACTGAAAAACATAATCATGAGTCGAACCATGAGACTAGCCGGCCCCCAGGCCGGGCCGATACAGGACCAAATTACAACGTGCCGTCGCTTGCTCAGGCAGCCAAGATCAATTTCTACCGTTTTTCTTTTCCCGCGGTTTTTTTTTCCACTTCGATCGCAAACCGTTGGACAGAAGAAACAAGTTCGGCTTGTGTCCACGCTACAAACTTTTCTATAATATCATAATTGCGACATGTTGATGGTAGGCGACACCGATCATCCTGTATGTGGGACAAGGGGTTGGGAAGATATACAGCTGTCGATAATTGATTTGTGTGGATCGAGAAATTAAAAATGTGGGAGTATTATTCGCAACACACAAGTGCCATTATGTTGATTAATACCGCAATTAGCTTCCTAAAAGTGGGGAGGAAGGGTATTTACGTGTGGCTCCTTAAGAATTGTTTCTTTTACATTGTAGTAAAGAGTGCACATTAATGTTGGCATACAAAAACTACCGTCTGTCTTGGTACATTTCATATGAAATAATCGTACCAAAGTTTTGCTGCGTTTTTACAAGACTATTTCAACGGAAATGGAGGCGAACCATCCAATCGTTTTCCATGTGTGCTTTACAACAACAGAGGGAATTTTACAAATAGACTCGGTTATTGTGAGCAAATTAATACTGCTTGTGAAACATTTGCGTTCATCACCATGGCAAATATTGCCACTTCAACTGTGCATTTGTCTTGAGACCATCCATCGTGTATGACAGCCGCTTTGTTGAGTGAATGCAAACACATTAAAATCCATTTGCACTGAGGTTGAACGAAAAACCCAGACAGCATTATGTAAACACTTTTATCTGGTTAACACGACGGGAATAAAATAAATATTTCCGGTACTCTGTTGAGGCACAAGAACATCAGATGAGTATTTACACTCGCGCTCGGGATAGTAATAATGGCACATGCAAATAATTAACATCGGACCTTATAAGCCTATTATAAAGAAGAACGATTTTTTTTTTTCTCAAAGGAACTTTAATAGAGAAATTGTATGGGTTTTGCCTCGTTCTGTCAGAAAATCTAACAGGACGTACAATGTTAACGGACATCCAAAGGGACAGAGGCGTATCCAGCTTTTGGTGTCACGAGGGGCAACTGCGCTCGCACATCCACACCGAAAACTTATTTGGAACCATTGTTAGTTATCTTTCTTATTCGATTCTAACTACGTTACACGGTACTCGAGCACCAACACACAAGTACTAGACGATTTAAGTGCAAAATCAAAATCACCAGGAGAAGAGAAAGTTCAATCAGTGAATAGTAAGATTCTTAATGGCCTCCCGTTGACGTGTTTGCAAACTAACTTTAATAATCAACATCGACGTGC